TTCAGTCAGATTAAAAGAAATGTGGAAATACGTCTCCTTTTCCTACTGTAGCCTGGATAGCAACCTATAAAAAAAACAAAAAACTGTGGAAAAAAACGTAATATGGATGATAGGGAAAGCCATTAAATAAGTGAGGGGATAGGAATACCTAATAGTGGGGAGAGCAAAAAAAGGACAACGAAAGAAACAGGAGAGCAGCGACTGAACCGCCGCTACACAAACTTGGACCACATTTGTAAATAACTTCACTGTAGATAGTCCAGTATTTGTAAAACGTTTTAATGTATTTGGAAGTAGTTAAACTTAAAATGAACTTTTTCTTTCAGAAAAATATGGGAAAACATGTCATGCCCTGAAAAAAAAAAAAAAACTAACCTCAACTGCGCATTATACAGAAAGAATACTATAACCAAACTTGAACTAGACTCACTTTCCTACCTAAATAGTACAAAAAACTGCTGCTGCCACATAAGCAATAATTTTACATATTCACATAAACACTTCCTGAAACCTAAAAGTCAAAAAAAAAATAGTAGGTTCCCGGGAAAATAATTCTCCTCACTCGAGAAGTAACAAAAGTAGGAAACTAAAAAGTTGAACATAATAACACATTTCGGCTAATACCTCAGCGCGGTAACCAAATTTCATCTAAATTCAACAAGCAACTTGCTGTCATTATTTTGACGAACAGAATGACACCAAGACCACCACAAATCTTCCACAGCAAGACTGGTGAAAACGCCCAAATACGAAATCAGAACAACGCTTGCAAAGCCTGTCAGCCTGTCGTGTTACCATAATTCTGAACCCACCGCCAAAAATATTTTCACACTAAATTGGAAATGAACGCGTCGATAGTCATTAGAATGCTTTAAGAACGAGTAAGTGAAATAAGCTGGCCCGAAGAACTGCCACTGGTCGACCTTTCGAGTTGTGTTGTTCCCTTGAGGTATACCAAACGCCTGCTGCAGTTCCGGAACTCTTTTATCCGTTAAACGAGAGTTCATCCTAGTACTAACCTATATTCGCCAGAAATCTCTAAAGGCGAGCTACTTGAATACAACAGTTCTATTAAGAGGCTGATTTTCAGTCACTTTTTCGTCTGCGCTCATCTGTATTTCTTGCGCTGCAGAGACTTTCCGTCCAGCAACGGATCCATTCCAGAATCTACTTTTATTTATCAGAAAGCTCAGAGAACGAGCTACCCAAATATGTTAGTCAGATTAAGAACCCTTTGATTGATTTTTCAAGTTACTATCCTTTTTCTGAGCCCCTTGGTGTTTTCTTACACGCCTGTTCCAGTTCTGGAGGACCTTCATCAGGCTAGCCGAAGCGAAAATTCCGCAATCAGTTCACACTTTTTTGAAGACTATGAGGTCGAGTTACTAAACTATGTTGATGTGGTTAATTTTTGCTGGCTTATTTTTTTCCCCAGAAGCAAAGAAAATAAAAAGAGGACGATGAAGACCCATGACTTAAAAAACTGATTCACGATCCTTACTGAAGTCACAAATTGAAGCAACTCCTTTCTAGCACTTTCTAATGAGTAGGCGCTGGTTCCTGAATAAATTCCGATAGTGAGCAAAAAACTTCCAAATCTGTACTGACATCTACAAGAAACAAAGACTAGCTCAAAGAAAAAACAATTCAAAAGCTCAGTCCAAGATCATTTTTAGAGCACTCTTTTGCCTATACAGTTTTTCCAAAGAGACATCTTGAATGCATTAAAACTGTTCTGGACTCAAAATATATTCCAAGCTCAATGATCAAGTAGTTGGAATCGTCCCAGTAGAAGAACATTTCGTTTAAGATTTTCAACAATGAACCTACAAACATAGTGACTCAAGTTCTTCATAGTTCAATGTACCGCCACAATAAAAAAAAATGTATAAACCGATGCGTGTGTATTTGGAGTGCTAAACAACAACAAAAAGATATGGAATCAGAATACGGAAAAACTAGTGAGTCGAGTTCATAACGTGATTTGAAAGCAATAACAAATGAAAAAACTGGATTTTACGAAACCTATATTTTAGGTAAATTTAAACTATGAAGAAACCTATATGAAATTTTCAGGCCTCTCCAGTGAGGTTTCAGGCGTCTCATATAAGTTTTTTGCCTTTTAAATTTAGTTCAAACTGAAGCGATAATGCTCCTATGCTCGTCTCTACAAGTATTCAAGTTTGAAAATACTGCCTTTGAAATCACCAACGAAGTTGCTTAAAAAATAAAAGGCAAAACTGCTTCGTCCCAAGAAAAGGATATTAGAGTTTATAGGGCTTCATAGCAAGCACAATGAAATACGCACCAGTGTCAACAACGAACTCTAACTTGCAACAGAATGCATACTTGTATTCCATTGAATCCATACCCATATCATGCAAAAAACTGTTAAGAGACCTTTGTTTTCTGTGTTTTTTAAAACTGACCACGCTGTGTAAATAACTGCTTGCGCTAAAACCCCAAATAAAAAAAAAATAATTTCTCAAGGAAGGGTGAAAAGAACTAATAAGCAAATGTAAAAACACTTGAACGCAAATTTCGTTTTCCTCAGCAACCTTTAACATTCTCCTTGCTATCATTCGAAGTTTACGGTCCTTAACATATCCTTCAGGTTCATCAGTGGAAGATACATCAGCAGCCAAACCATTAAGGATCTGTAAAAGAAAAAGTAGAAGAGAATCCGACTTAAACGCGGCCCCACACTTTTTTAATCATCATAAAAACCCGCACAAATTCTTCTTCCACTGCCCCATGTGTGTCCACAAAAAAATGATATGATACTCCCACTAACGAGAAAACTGTTTAGTAGCTGTTGCTCCTAAAGATCACACAAATTTCCAAGAGATGAATTCAAACAAAGCCAGAAACAAGGTCAATTAACCAGGACGACATACTTATTCCGATTATATCATACTGCAATATTAACTTTACTTCGGAAACAAAGCACAAGTTTTCAACTAATGATATCTTTAACGTGGTTTACACGTAAATAAAGCACACATCTAACAATTACAAATCAAAATGAGAAACCGACTTCCCCAAATAGTTGGCATAACTAAAGCTAAAATGATAGAATGAGATTCACCAAATAATTCTTGCCAGAAGAAAAGTGCAGTCACGCTCGTGTATTAAAATATCAAAGAAGAGCTTCTAACTGACTAAAAATAACCGCTTATTTTAACCAAGAAATCTCACTCCCGATGTAAAAAATATTACAACACAGACGCAGTTTGTAGTCCAATACCAATAAATCACTACGTTAACATAAAGCCCATAGGATAAGACTGGAATCGATGTCAAATAAACTTTTACTGTCAGCAATATCCAAAGCATCCCAATGAAAATGTAGAAGAGTCAAATAGAGTTCTTACAACTAAAAAGTCAAATCAAAGATGTATTTTCTCCCAAATAAAAGTTGTGAGAAGTTAAAGAGAAAGAACTAAAGGCGACCGCTTCAGTTTTCTGAATTACAGTGGTCCTTAAAAACGTGAAATCTAAAGAAAAAAAAACAAAAAAATAAAAAAACTGCACCAGTTACTCTACGCACTACGTCACATATTACGTGATAACTTTTTTAATTACAATAAAAGAAGTCTTTAAGTTATCAAACCAAAGTTCTTCTTGCGCAGAAAAGTTAGCCTAAACAGTATTTCAGCAATTATTCCCATCTTACTGAGAATTATTCAATAGTTATCGTATAAAGAAAGATAATACTTTGAGCTCCAATGTATAATTTGCCAGCAGGACCAAATTACAGAAACAAGGTCTCACAAAACATCGCATTTCAACACGAATAAATTTAAAAACATTAATTTTAGAGAGGAAAATACAAGTCCAGAATGAGAAAAAAATTGAAATGAACTGTAATCGAAAAAGCAAATTTTGGTCAGTAAAAAATTTTTTAGGAAAGAGAAAGTGATCGAACGCAAACCTTTTTCATCCTAATATTAGTCGACTTGCCATCTTTTGTATTAATATTACTTTTACTTGCCGTAACAGCCAATTTTTTCGACCTTTTGAGTGGCATAACCTGCTAAAATTATACAATCATTTTTTAAATTTTTTTGCGAGGTTAAAAAACGACACAATGAACTTTTAACCTACAGTTTACACCACATTACTACATCAATGGCTGCTTTACAAAATGTAGCACCAGCTCAATGCAAAAATGACACACAATCACGCTCTATCAGATACCATTTCACAAACAAAAACATTTCAACCACTTTTGAGAAAATCTTTTAAAATTATTAAAAAACTTTCTCAGCGTTCTCAAACCTTCTCCTAAATAAAAAAATCTCACATTAGCAGACAAGAAAAAAGAAAAGTAAATACACCAGGCACTTATCAATCTTAACAACACATTATCCCCAAAGCCTAATTGTATATCTTTTAACACACTTTTATAGACATATTCTCTTAATATTCCAAAAGAAGAGTGATTGAAACAAAAAGCTCACCTCTGCTCCATCATCTGAGGAACTAGTTGAAGACTCTGCCGCAACCCTTTTAGACACACTGACTTCAAAAAGCTTTTTCTAAATAGTAAATTACGAATAAATATAAAAATGAATGACTATTTTAGAAATCATTTCAATGCTGTACAAATTTACATGCGCCTACAAATCAAAGTAAATGAGCTAAATCAAATTGTCCACTCTCTGAACCTGATATTTGAGATTTTTTTCAAGCTCTGCACCAGAAGTCCTGCATCAGATTTTAAAAATGAAAATATTATTTGGTCATTTTACCTGTGAAAAGACTGGTACATTCCTAAAATTGCAAAAACTTTTTTTGGCTAAACATCAACTAATACTAATGACTGTACTCACTACGCCCCCCATGAAAATTAAGCACTTTTGGATGTTTTGAAAGATACTCTACATACTTTTCAAAACTCTTTAAACTCCAATTTTCTAAAAAAAACTTTGAAAATTCCCTGTAAAATTCTTGCTTTGAAACAAGTTAAAAAGTAAAAGACTCATGGCTTTCTTCAAACAAAAATATTTTGAGTATATGTGTTCTTCTGCAAGAAGGATTAAAATTGATCGTGGATTGGAATCACATCCTTGAACGATGGAATGGAGAAAAGGTTGAAATAGCGAAAACTGCACTGACACCACTAACTCCTACTCTCCTGCAGCTAGAAGTTGGGTCATTGCGCGCGAAACCGACAAAACAACGCATTCCAGCCAAATTATTATAATCTTGCCTCAATCATTTCTTAATGACTGGCAGACCTATTTTACTCCCTAGACAAGTTTTAATGCATTTTGAAAGGATTTTACAAAAACTTTAAAAAGGTGTGTCAACTTTTTTTTTTTTTTAATTTTTTATACCTTTTAATGCCGTCTCTAACTTTACATTATTTTCATAGCTTGCGAAGAAAAATTAGTAGAAAACGGTACGGAGAGCGGAGAACACATCTTTATTAAGATTTCTAAAGTGCCTAACTCTGTTAGAAATAAATCAAGTTACAATCATTCCACTCGGCCACATTCCAAGAAGAATAGTAATTTTGCACATTTGGGAGATCCCAGTTGAATTAGCAAAATGATCTTCTTAATCTTCAGCAATTTGGATATAAGATTCTATCATTCAAAAAGCTTGAAAGAAAACTTAAACACCACTTCAAAAGTGTAGAATATGGTATGAAACGACCCAAATAAAATTTTACGAGTAAAAAACTAACTTGGAGATTGCTACTAATTAAAGCCCCAAGTAATGAACCTGCGACGGTTGTTTCTTGATATTTTTTCCGTTCAGTTTTCGCATACGTTAGATTTAACAAAATTTTCATAGGAAATAATGCTAAAAATCTCAGTGCAAAACAGCAACAATAACACGGAGTAAGCAATGCTGATAGATACCGATGGTTCAATTTATAAACAAGAAGAGAAAAAATGCACACTTCTAATGTTCTGGCGTTCACGCTACGCAATCCGAAATAAAAAAATTTTCATTGCCGCAAAAAATAAAACGTTTTAAATAACTGCTTGGAAGAAACAGAAAAAAAAAAGATCAGTATGAAACATTAGACTCAAGAAAAAAAAAGATGAGTCACAAATGTCAAAAAAGAGAGTGGAATTTAACAAACCCTCCTACATTTCAACATGAAAAATACCAACAACTGCAACTCAACTAAATAAATTAAGTACACATTATGAATCATTCCTGTACTTTCAGTTCTTAATGCGAAAAATTGGAAATGGTAAAAAAAATAGACCACTGAAAAAGATTTAAGGTTTTCATAACTGCACAGCAGTCGATCCTGTAAAAAAATCAAAGAAAGCAAGAAATTAAAAGTACTAATTAAGATAAATTGTCATTCCAAGCAGCCCAAAAAATACTGATACCATCCTTACACTTTCACACAAGTATCTATATTCTACTCGTTGTAATTTTCTTTTTTTATAAAATATAAAATAAACCCTTAGTCATGAAAGAACTTACAACTTGTCATAATTTATTCAAATTAGTGACTCACTCCTCACCATTTCCCTCAAAACGCTCTACTACTCAACTTTATTTCACTAGCTGCGGTAAAAAAAAAAACCTAGGTAACTTAATACTCCGCTATCTGTTTACCACTTCACTGTAAACACATGCTTCTTTTCTATACATTTTTTTGACAAACCCAGCTCGTTTATGCTGTACTTGTGAAAATAACAGCAGTAAACCCAAAATGGTCAAGATACGGTCGACATTTTAAACAGAAAAACTACTTTATGTCAAATAATTCATAACTGCAGGCACTGTTTACAGAATACCTCTTAATACAGTGGTAGGCGCTTCAAGGTAATTATCCTACTTACAGCAAAAATTTTTTTTTACATTATACCGATATGGTACAGTAAGAAAGCTAACAGATTCAACGCCAACCTACCATCCGAAAAACAAACGACAGTATCCTGTCCAAATATAAATCAACAAGTAATTTTAAAAACAGCCTATTAGAAGACGGTTGAAATCCCCAAAACTAGATTTCACGTTTCTTTTCGAAGGTCTAGAAAAGAAATTTTTGCAGATCAGAAAAGAGAAGCTGGAGCATCTAACACGCATTTAGTCAGGTTAGTAAAAAACTGCATTAAAATCAGCCAGTAACAAACAATTCGATATCATACCTGATTGCTAATGGGAAAAATTAAAACCTAATACAGTTTCTTAGTGTAAGGTATTGTCTGCGTCTTTTTGCTCTAGTAATTCTTTCTTGAGAGATCATGACTTAAAACAGAATTAAAGCTTTTCAGATTTCATAACACTACTTATCCAAAACTCTGTAGCCAAAAAGTTATTTTCCGAACGAGCAAATTACTAGCGAGCAAATTAAAGAAGAACGTGAAGAAAATACCGCTCCAGCCTTAACCAGGTCAACATCACTGTCACTACCATCAACAGAAGCAACGTTTGCTTTCTTGGAAAGCGGCGCCTTCAGTGGAGACTCTGCGCCTCGCTTACGATTTACAATTGTGTTATATTCTGCCACAACTTCTTTAAGACTCTTAAATTTCCCTGACGACCTCTAAAGAGTTCGAAAATGTAAGGAACAGACAATTACGGTAATCAAAATAAATACAAAAAGTACTGGTCTTCATCAGAAAAAACGAGATAACTCACTCGCTTCTTTTCGAGTTCTAATCGTTCCTTCGCACTGTACATCTTTGCCAGTAACTTCGGTTCCTTATTTGCCACATGGTCGAATAAAAGCACGTCAAAATCAACAGCACTATATACTTCCTCCATGGTTCCTTAACACCCCTTTATTATTTCAACAAGATATTATGCCTCTTTACGATTTCACGACTTTCGCAGTTAAAAATCAATTTCACTTCTCAGTAAATCATATAGAAAAACAACGAAAATAATTTTGAAAAATTCACAAAATTTCCGTTCAAAGAAATCTGACAAAAAAATTTTTTTTCAAAGACCTTTTCCTCTAGTTAAGGGATAAACAAGAGGAAACACATCCCACACATAGAAGAACACTTCTCCATCAAGAAACAAAGTGAAACATAAAAGGTGTAAAATCTGCTTCTCGATGGAGCCGAACAATAATGTTTACAACTACCATTTCAGTGTTTTGCAAAACTGCGAAACTTTTCCCAATCAGCAAACGAAAGAGTAGCACTGCCAATTAACGGACAAGAAGTAAACTTCAGGAAAGCTAACCAACCTACAATAACATTAGAAAAGAAGCACGACTTCTAAGGCGCTTGCTGCGCTTGTGCACTATAAGTTCAGTGAGGACTTTGTGAACATAGTAAACTTCCAAGACCAAATAATTTACATCTTCTTTTCCCTTCGCTTTTTAATCCCCCATTTTACGCGTCTTCGTCGTCTAATTAAGCTAAAACTTATTCTTTCCGCTACCACCCTATTGCTCAACACCACTAATCCTGGTTTCAAGAACACATGGCGTAAAAAACACCCGTCAAACGCAAAATATTTCTTCAAGTGAACACGCTAGTGATCAGTGCTACACGAATGGCACATTTCACGTAAAAAATCGGCGCTGCTGCAATTGCCCCTCTCCCAAATTCAAACATTTCTTTGAATGTCAGCCTAACTTCATATTTTGTATACAGTTCTTGTCACCGCCTAATCTATATAGCTTTTGCTAACTTATTAACGGTCTAATGCTCAGATGTCGTTTTGACTCTTTCAAAACCTCACAACGCCCTTTCATGTCAACGCATTGTGTAGTCGATAGCGCAAGCACTTTCCTAGGTTCGCATCAACAGCTGCGCAGATTCTTTACTCGCAATTCTCAAATTTCTCAGCCATCCTCTCTGGTCTTCTTAAAATGTCTATTTAGCCACAATTTTTTAGTTGTTTGCAGAGAAATCAACAGATGGCATTAATTTATAATTCAGAGATGTTTAAGCCTGCTTGTACAATTTCATAGCCCTCTATAGCTGCTTCTTTATTCAATGAGGAAGATGCGCCTACAAATAATGAAAGTTGCAATACAATTAGAACGAAATACAAGAAACAGGGAACAGTTAAAAGATACGGGACAAAGCACAGCTGCGAGGGCTTTACATATCAGGTCTTTGCTTTACCCCCCTTATACTATCCCGTAAACGCCTTATTGCAATTTTGTTGAAGGTTTTTTCTCAAAGTTCTTTTGACTGCCTCCCTAAATTAAAAAGCAGCCAAAACGGTTTATAAAGCATTAAAAACAGACTCCTGTAGAACACAGACTCACTTAGTGCCATTCTTCTAGTGCTATGTATACGACCAAAACATTGCGATTATAAGCCATTCTTTTCACTACCGAACTACTCTTGAGGAACCAGCCAACAGGAAATACGTGTCTGTTGTAACGATACCAACCGTTTGAACATCCAGTTTTGCACGGACATGATTCCAGAACGGTCTTCATGTATTCAGGATGCCTTTCTAGGAAGACCATATAATTTTTTGCTCGTCAGCGAAATCTATTCAAAAACTACCTTGTACTCGTTAGAAAACTAAGAGTTCTTAAATATTTAAGTCCAACAAGAAATCGTGACTAAGTTTTTTGAGTCACCCTTCTTTGTTTTTTTTTCTTTTTTTTTTCGTATTTTCAAAAAGTTTTTTGCCTTTTCAGGACGCTTATTCTGGAATTAACCAACCCCAGTTGGAAAGCTACCAAAGCAAACTGCCCAACGGTTTTAGTTATACAACAGGTCACGGTTCAATTTTTCAAGCTAAGTACCTTTTCCGCGCTGGTTCCTGTCTCTTTAGGTATATTATTTGCAAAGTGCAGTAGAATGCCACAAACTTCGCCCTGTATACCCCTAGAAAAAACCAGCACAAAAAATGACGCATAATTAACGACACTTAACTCGAAAATCTGTCCATGACCCGTTGATCAAACCGTCCCAGTCGAGTGGCCCTTTCTCAGGCCTCCCCAATAAGCTTAGATTGGTTCAAAGATGAATGTCGTGGAAAGACAAAAAACTATATTGGACTGCTGCTGGCTACTGTAAGAAATTTCGACTAGTTCAAAAACCAATACATAATTCAAAAAAAAAAAAAAAAACGGTGATTTACTCTTAACACAAAAATCGCCCATCCTGAAAACATTATAGTGACAAGTTTTCTCAAGATTGCGTCGTTGTAAAAACAAAAATGGTTTCAGAAGCGCATCCGCTGAAATAGTCCCAGGAAGGACGTGTTCCTTTTTGGCGAGACCTTCAGTGATGGTGTGGGAATGAGAAGGCCTTCAACAGCATTTACCCTTTTGTTACGAAAAACTATGTGCCGCTCAGACCAGGATTACGACATTCCAACCTGAGAAATGAAAAAATGCTGGCCTAAATTCAAATTGCGATTTTTTTACTTAATTAATTCTTAAAGCTCTGCAGCTATTTGAGCACTACTCTCTGTCCACCAAATTCGTGGCTATACAGCGGTTGTTGAAATTTATACTGATTTTGAAGCCACGCTCAAGATATTAGCTGGACCATGACATGCTTTATTGCTTTATTTGCAAAAAAAAAAAAAAAAAAAAAAAAAAAAA